ATTATAGCAGAGAACTTCCCTAATTTAGGGAAGGAAACAAGCATCAAAATCCAGGAAGCACAGAGAACCCCTCTCAAAATCAATAAAAATAGGTCAACACCCCGACATCTAATAGTAAAACTTACGAGTCTCAGAGATAAAGAGAAAATCCTGAAAGCAGCTCGGGAGAAGAGATATGTAACCTACAATGGTAGAAACATTAGAATGGCAACAGACCTATCCACAGAGACCTGGCAGGCCAGAAAGGACTGGCAGGATATATTCAGAGCACTAAATGAGAAAAATATGCAGCCAAGAATACTCTATCCAGCTAGGCTGTCATTGAAAATTGAGGGAGAGATAAAAAGCTTCCAGGACAAACAAAAACTAAAGGAATTTGCAAACACGAAACCAGCCCTACAAGAAATCTTGAAAGGGGTCCTCTAGCAAAGAGAGACCCTAAAAGCAACATAGACCAGAAAGGAACACGGACAATATACAGTAACAGTCACCTTACAGGCAATACAATGGCACTAAATTCATATCTTTCAATAGTTACCCTGAATGTAAATGGTGTAAATGCCCCAATCAAAAGACACAGGCTATCAGATTGGATTAAAAAATAAGACCCATCGATATGCTGTCTGCAAGAGATTCATTTTAGACCCAAAGACACCCCCAGATTGAAAGTGAGGGGGTGGAAAACCATTTACCATGCTAATGGACACCAAAAGAAAGCTGATGTGGCAATCCTTATATCAGACAAATTAGATTTTAAACCAAAGACTGTAATAAGAGACGAGGAAGGACACTATATCCTACTTAAAGGGTCTATCCAACAAGAAGATCTAACAATTGTAAAAATCTATGCCCCTAACATGGGAGCAGCCAATTATATAAGGCAATTAATAACAAAAGCAAAGAAACACATTGACAACAATACAATAATAGTGGGGGACTTTAACACCCCCCTCACTGAAATGGACAGATCGTCTAAGCAAAAGATCAACAAGGAAATAAAGGCTTTAAATGACACACTGGACCAAATGGACTTCACAGACATATTCAGAACATTCCATCCCAAAGCAATGGAATACACATTCTTCTCTAGTGCCCATGGAACATTCTCCAGAATCGATCACATCCTAGGTCATAAATCAGGTCTCAACTGGTACCAAAAGATTGGGATCATTCCCTGCCTATTTTCAGACCACAATGCTTTGAAACTAGAACTCAATCACAAGAGGAAAGTCGGAGAGAACTCAAATACATGGAGGCTAAAGAGCATCCTACTAAAGAACAAATGGGTCAACCAGGAAATTAAAGAAGAATTTAAAAAATTCATGGAAACCAATGAAAATGAAAACACAGCTGTTCAAAATCTTTGGGATGCAGCAAAGGCAGTCCTAAGAGGAAAGTATATAGCAATAGAAGCCTTTCTCAAGAAACAAGAAAGGTCTCAAGTACACAACCTAACCCTACACCTAAAGGAGCTGGAGAAAGAACAGCAAATAAAGCCTAAACCCAGCAGGAGAAGAGAAATAATAAAGATCAGAGCACAAATCAATGAAATAGAAACTAAAAGAACAGTAGAACAGATCAACGAAACTAGGAGCTGGTTCTTTGAAAGAATTAACAAGATTGATAAACCCCTGGCCAGACTTATCAAAAAGAAAAGAGAAAGGACCCAAATCAACAAAATCATGAATGAAAGAGGAGAGATCACAACCAACACCAAAGAAATATAAACAATTATAAGAACATATTATGAGCAACTCTATGCCAGCAAATTAGATAACCTGGAAGAAATGGATGCATTCCTAGAGGTGTATCAACAACCAAAACTGAACCAGGGAGAAATAGAAAACCTGAACAGACCTATAACCACTAAGGAAATTGAAGCAGTCATCAAAAATCTCCCAAAAAACAAAAGCCCAGGGCCAGATGGCTTCCCAGCGGAATTCTACCAAACATTTAAAGAAGAATTAATACCTATTCTTCTGAAACTGTTCCAAAAAATAGAAATGGAAGGAAAACTTCCAAACTCATTTTATGAGGCCAGCATTACCTTGATCCCAAAACCAAACAAAGACCCCATCAAAAAGGAGAATTACAGACCAATATCCCTGATGAACACGGATGCAAAAATTCTCACCAAATACTAGCCAATAGGATCCAACAGTACATTAAAAGGATTATTCACCACGACCAAGTGGGATTTATTCCTGGTCTGCAAGGTTGGTTCAACATCCGCAAATCAATCAACGTGATACAATACATTAACAAAAGAAAGAACAAGAACCATATGATCCTCTCAATAGATGCAGAAAAAGCATTTGACAAAGTACAGCATCCTTTCTTGATCAAAACTCTTCAGAGTATAGGCATGGAGGGTACATACCTCAATATCATAAAAGCCATCTATGAAAAACCCACAGCAAATATCATTCTCAATGGGGAAAAACCAAGAGCTTTCCCCCTAAGGTCAGGAACGCGGCAGGGATGTCCACTATCACCACTGCTATTCAACATAGTATTAGAAGTTCTAGCCACAGCAATCAGACAGCAAAAAGAAATCAAAGGCATTCAAATCGGCAAAGAAGAAGTCAAACTCTCACTCTTTATAGATGATATGATACTTTATGTGGAAAACCCCAAAGACTCCACCCCAAAACTGCTAGAACTCATACAGGAATTCAGTAAAGTGGCAGGATATAAAATCAATGCACGGAAGTCAGTGGCATTCCTATACACCAACAACAAGATAGAAGAAAGAGAAATTAAGGAGTCAATCCCATTTACAATTGCACCCAAAACCATAAGATCCCTAGGTATAAATCTAACTAAAGAGGCAAAGGATCTGTACTCAGAAAACTATAGAACACTCATGAAAGAAACTGAGGAAGACACAAAGAAATAGAAAAATGTTCCACGCTCATGGATTGGAAGAACAAATATTGTGAAGATGTCAATGCTACACATTCAAGGCAACCCCCATCAAAATACCATCCACTTTTTTCAAAGAAATGGAACAAATAATCCTAAAATTTGTATGGAACCAGAAAAGACCCCGAATAGCCAGAGGAATGTTGAAAAAGAAAAGCAAAGCTGGCGGCATCACAATTCCGGACTTCCAGTTCTATTACAAAGCTGTCATCATCAAGACAGTATGGTACTGGCACAAAAACAGACACATAGATCAATGGAACAGAATCGAGAGCCCAGAAATGGACCCTCAACTCTATGGTCAACTAATCTTTGACAAAGCAGGAAAAAATGTCCAATGGAAAAAAGACAGTCTCTTCAACAAATGGTGTTGGGAAAACTGGATAGCCACATGCAGGAGAATGAAACTGGACCATTTCCTTACACCACACACAAAAATAGACTCCATATGGTTGAAAGACCTCAATGTGAGACAGGAGTCCATCAAAATCCTAAAGGAGAACACAACCTCTTCAACCTCAGCTGCAGCAACTTCTTCCTAGAAACATCGCCAAAGGCAAGGGAAGCAAGGGCAAAAATGAACTATTGGGACTTCATCAAGATAAAAAGCTTCTGCACAGCAAAAGAAACAGGCAACAAAACCAAAAGACAACCGACAGAATGGGAGAAGATATTTGCAAATGACATATCAGATAAAGGGCTAGTATCCAAAATCTATAAAGAACTTATCAAACTCAACACCCAAAGAACAAATGATCCCATCAAGAAATGGGCAGAAGACATGAACAGACATTTGTCCAAAGAAGACATCCAAATGGTCAACAGACACATGAAAAAGTGCTCAACATCGCTTGGCATCAGGGAAATCCAAATCAAAACCTCAGTGAGATACCACCTCACACCAGTCAGAATGGCTAAAATTAACAAGTCAGGAAATGACAGATGTTGGCGAGGATGCGGAGAAAGGGGAACCCTCCTACACTGTTGGTGGGAATGCAAGCTGGTGCAGCCACTCTGGAAAACTGTATGGAGGTTCCTCAAAAAGTTGAAAATAGAGCTACCATATGATCCAGCAATTGCACTACTGGGTATTTACCCCAAAGATACAAAAGTAGGGATCCGAAGGGGTACGTGCACCCCGATGTTTATAGCAGCAATGTCCACAATAGCCAAACTGTGGAAAGAGCCAAGATGTCCATCGACAGATGAATGGATAAAGAAGATGTGATATATATATATATATCACATGTATATATATATATATATATATACATACAATGGAATATTATGCAGCCATCAAAAGGAATGAGATCTTGCCATTTGCAATGACGTGGATGGAACTGGAGGGTATTATGATGAGCGAAATAAGTCAAACAGAGAAAGACATGTATCATATGACGTCACTGATATGAGGAATTCTTAATTGTAGGAAACAAACTGAGGGTTGCTGGAGTGGGGGGTGGGGTGGGAGGGATGGGGTGACTGGGTGATAGACACTGGGGAGGGTATGTGCTCTGGTAAGCGCTGTGAATTGTGCAAGACTGTTGAATCTCAGATCTGTACCTCTGAAACAAATAATGCAATATATGTTAAGAAAAAAAAAAGAAGAAGATAGCAGGAGGGGAAGAATGAAGGGGGAAAGCGGAGGGGTAGACAAACCATGAGAGACGATGGACTCTGAAAAACAGAGGGTTCTAGAGGGGAGAGGGGGAGGATGGGTTAGCCTGGTGATGGGTATTAAAGAGGGCATGTTCTGCATGGAGCACTGGGTGTTATGCACAAACAATGAATCATGGAACACTACATCTAAAACTGATGTAATGTATGGGGATTAACATAACAATAAAAAAATTTAAAAAAAATATTTTAATGCAATTAGAATTTTTCTTGATTAATATAATATATATACATGTTTGCACCTATAAGCATGTTGTTAAAGTAACCATAAAGATGAAGTAGGGTTTTCATATAGATTTCTGCAGAGAACTAAATTAAAATTTGGACTGTATTTCTCAATGACTTGCTTCCTCAGTTAGAGTGTTCCATATTGTAAAAATGAAGCTGAAAATGCTTACAGGCACATGGACTTTTCGAAACATCTCAGCACCCTTGCGAGCGTCCATCAGTGCAATGTCCTGGGGTGTGGAGACAATCACAGCACCTAATCAATAGAAAACAAAACAAAGAGAAAGTAAAATGATGCATTTAATTCTTTATGGAAAGATTACTTCCACAATTACATTGCTTACATGCTAAAAGAGTCTACAACATTAACTATTTAGGTAATTTGTATAAATTTTAGATACATGAACGGGAAAGATAAGGAAATGTCTACCTCACTCTTGCCTATTTTTGACTTCTCACTTCTAAAATAACAACTGACCGACCAATGATTCAAGATCACAGCTATGTCACAGCTATGGGACTGTCTTCCCATCAGACAATGTGCTAGTTAGAAGATGCACAACATGGGCCCTACTTTCAAAAAGCTAATAATCTACTTGGAAAATCCAAAAAATTAAGGATTACAACACAATGTGCTAAGCAATGTAATAGAAGTATGCCTCCTCGATACTCTGGAGTTAAAAAGGAGAAATAAGGGAAGATAACTAATTCATTCTAGGGATCAGAATGGCAAAGGTGACAATGGATGGGGTGAAAAGGCAGGAGATAAGGAGAAGCAATAAAGAAAAGGTTTCAGAAAGAAGCGATTCCTGAGCTGAGTCCTAAAAGTTTGTATTAAAGAAACTCACTAGTGTAGAATGCACTGTAGAGAATAGTTGAGTGGGGGTAAAACTAGAAGCTATGGTAGAAATTGAGAAACAGTGGTGGCCTAAATGAAGGCAGCACCAAAAGTAGGTGCTTTCCTAGGTTTCCACTATGACCCTGCAGACACCAGATGGTTCTATGACATAGTGCATAGAGAGAAAGTGCAGTGTAAACTTTTAAGTGGAAATACCAGAAGGCTGGTTATGATTTGCAGTTTGTGATTTCTTAAACTTTGCGGGTTCTTCTAGATGATAACCTGAAAAATAATTAACATAAACATATTCTACATGACCTGGATGACCATCATCTTTAACTAAATACACAATGACATGACATTTCAGAGCTCCAAACCATCAAAGTGGCACCAACTGGTAGTACTTCATCACAACTAATGAAAACAGAGGTAGGATCACAATAAATAATGGACTATACCAAATGAAGAACAAATGATACTACAAAGTATTATCTGAAGGGACATTTTGAAGAAGTCAAAATAAAGACAAGTGGCAGGGAAACCAAGTTGGCACAAAGCACATGGCAATACAGGCTTGCCAAACTCAAAAGAAGGTGTCCTATAGGAGTTAGCTACAAATTCCTCTTGCAATCAGTATTTTCATTTCAGCCAAAAAAACACTCCATCTTTCATATTAAATTAATGTCATTAATTTGAATTTTATTATTTTTTTAAAGTTTTGCTTTTTTTACTCTGTAATATTTTTTAGTTTTTAAAAAATTATTTAAGAGCTATAAGCTTAAGGAATTTATATTTACACCTAGTTAAGTAGTCTTATAATAAAAATAAGTCAATATGGGGTATGGGGCAGATTATTTTTCCTTCAGAAGGAGGGCCTATTCATTACTCAAGTTTGAGAAACACTAGCTTTGGAATTTCAACAGAATCAGAATTCAAATTTTTATTCCATAGCCAGCTTTTTGTGTCACTAGGGTAATAACTTAATCTCTCTGAGATTGGTGTTACTATGCCATTTTGTAGACGAGGAAACTAAATCTCAGAGAAATAATTAAATGAAACTAATGTACCTAAGATGCCTGACATGATGCCTAGACACAGGGTAAACATTCAGTAAAAGGTAGCTCATGTTGTTGTTGCTCATATTATCACCATTGTTATCTTTATTACTGTTATTAATAAAATGTCTTAGAAGTTGCTGGGAAGGTCATTTTTATATGTGCCATCAGGCAGCTCATCCTATTTTTCAAACTGTTCCATGGGTCACTACATCCTTCTATTTTTATTTGCTCTGCCCAAGGAACCAAACACTAGTAGACCATTCTCCTTCCTGTCTTTCAAAGATTGATGGAAATCATATCTCTGTAAAAATTATACTCAACTCTACTCCACAGATCCAATATACATCCACAATTTGCCACCTTCTAGGTTCTGTTATCAATCTATTTCACTGTTTTTTCATATCCAGGCATTTGGAAGGAATCTGATTCCAGTTCTGCCTCCATCTAGCTGTATGACTGATCTTTGGCAAGTAATTCAGAATCACTCTAGTCTCAGTTTCCTTAGCTATACAATTAATGCAAGGACTAGATAGTCTCCAAGGTCTCAGCTAGCTCTGATTACATGCTTTAGCACTGCCTCTGAACTGTAGTTTCCAAAACCACTCCTGTTCATCCTGACTGCTCAGTAAACCTATTTAAATGAATGTGAAATGCTACCCTACTCCAAGAATAATGGCCCCTCAATCTCAGAGCCACTCTCTTCACGTAAATAAAACCTCCTTGGCTATTTCCACCAAATTCTCTCTTAATTATATGCCAGTACACAGGGGGTTTTCTATTGCATTCGCCCTAAAAAGTACTTTTAGCTTTCACAGGATACACTCATTTTATTATTTTAAATAGCCTTTGTCTACTATTTGTATTACCACTATACAATACAATTCCATGGGCAGTTACGATTTTTCTCATTTTTTAATCAAGCAAAACTGATACAATGCCATGTACAAAATAGGCACTTAACAAATAATAGGTGATTTAAACAATTTTCCTGTATTTTCAAATCATCTATCCTGGACTACTGCTGCATGAACTCCCCTTAGTTGGTAACTCCTTGAACTAGGAGTTAAGAGCTATGGATTCTGGCTGTGTTTACTATGTCTTTGTAACTACATAACCTTGAATAGCTCACTTAATTTCAATACAACTCAATGAACTCTTCTGTAAAGTCCACCTAGTTCCATTGCTCCTATTTAACTTAAAGAGATGTTCCATTAAAAAAAAAAGAATGTAAAAGTGTTACAAAAATGTTTGGTGACATTATTTTGATAGCTATAAGATCCTAGAGAGAGGGACTGAAGTGCCTTGGTTTCTCTGTACTTAACCCTAACTAACACAGTATCACAAGTAAGCATCCACACCATCTGAGTTTCTTTGTAATCTAAATAACACCATTCATACATCAATTAATAACAACTTTTTGACAAGGACAATGATCATCTTCTATGTCCCATCAAATGCTTACCAAATGTAAACATTCCATTAGAACTACCAGCCACATTTATAAAAGATTTTTTGGGGGTGCCTGGGTGCCTCATTTGGTTAGGTGTTGGCTTCGACTCAGGTCATGATCCCAGGGTCCTGAGATCAAGTCCCACATTGGACTCCCTGCTCAGCAGGGAGCCTGCTTCTCCCTCTCCCTCTGCCCACCCCTCCTCATGCTCACATGTGGGTGTTCTCTTTCTCACTCTCAAATAAATAAATATTTTTTCATGTAAGAGCTCTTTTGCTGAAGTACATGTTCTTAAATAATTAAGTTCTTAATCACAATGTAATCAGTCTTTAGGACTATTCTCAGAAAAAAATTCTAGCCTTCTCTGAAGAACACAAAAACATAACTGGCCCACGCATAAATAACTACTTCTTTTGTTGTACCAAATTTTATTTTATTTTATTTTTAATATTTTATTTATTTGTCAGAGAGAGAGAGAACACAAGCAGGGGGAGTGGGAGAGGGAGAAGCAGGCTTCCCACCTAGCAGGGAGCCCAATGCAGGACTCGATCCCATGACCCTGAGATCATGACCTGAACCGAAGGCAGACGCTTAACTGACTGAGCCACCCAGGCATTCCTATTGTACCAAATTTTAATACATCATATAAGTAACCATTTCAAACAGCCCTACAATGACCTTTAGAATGTATAAATAAAGCAAACAAAAAACAAATAAAACCTCCATTAAAATTAATCATTATTAATCAATCTGTGCATCACAATCCAGATTTTTTAAGATTTTTATTTATTTATTTATTTGACAGGGAGAGACACAGCGAGAGAGGGAACACAAGCAGAGGGAGTGGGAGAAGGAGAAGCAGGCTTCCCGCTGAGCAGGGAGCCTGATGCGGGGCTCGATCCCAGGACCCCGGGACCATGACCTGAGCCGAAGGCAGATGCTTAACGACTGAGCCACCCAGGTGCCCCCACAATCTAGATTTTTAAATTTTAAAGAAATTATATCAATTTTTTTCTTGTTACTGTATCTCTTTTCTTAAAATATGGTCTCCAAATCTGCTGTTATATTTTATCTTTATGATTCTTGGTTGTCTACCTAATAAATTTTCATTTTTATCAGGGCATGAACCAATATGAACTAGCCCAAATTTTTCCCCTTTAATACCATCACTGATGATGTCACTTAAGTTTTCTCATGGAGGGTTAGTTCGGAAACTTGTGCTCCCTCTACTGACCATAGGAAATGTTAGTAGCAACAAAGAGAATGTTCAGTTTGCAATAAATGGAAGTATTTTCTGGGGGCAAAACATAGTATCATAAGACACCTATCTCAAGAATTCCAGGGAGAATTCTCTATCCGTTTTCTAGAGTAAATGTCTAAGTCCAAACAATTAAATAATATTTTTAAATGTTATTTTCCAAGTTGTAATCTTTTTTAAAGGTTTTTTATCAACTGCGATTTACTATAAAAGATTATGTAGCAGATTCTGGCAAATATGTAAACATCCTAAACAATAATAATTATTATTTTTTTAATATTTTATTTATTTATTTGACAGAGACAGCGAGAGAGGGAACACAAGCAGGGAGAGGGAGAAGCAGGCTTCCCACTGAGCAGGGAGCCCGATGCGGGCCTCGATCCCAGGACCTTGGGATCATGACCTGAGCCAAAGGCAGATGCTTAACCACTGAGCCACCCAAGCGCCCCTTAAACAATAATTATTTAGAGTATTGTTTTAATTGCTAACTCTCTTGACTGTTAAGAAGAAAATCTGTAACTGCATACCTGAATTGGGTCAGAGTTCAGAGTAGTTAAACATTTAAAACTGATTATTCCAGATGTTGGGCTGATCATAATTATACCAGTGTGGAACTATTCAACTATGCCATTTTAAGTCTCAGGGCATAAAG